ACGAGTTGTGTTCTTTGATCTATGTGGTGTTATGGTTATTGGTATGCCACCGAAATCTGAAAGATGGTCTAGCTTTTCAAATTGTTCTTTGTCGCAGACTTCGAGGAGAAGGTCTCCGCTAGCCATTTTGGTTACCTTGTATCCTGTGCCAAGAGTTTCAGTGAGACATCTAGAAACTAGGAAAGGAGAGACGGTCCTGGCTTGCTTTTCAGTTTTTTCACAGTGGATAACACGAAAGTGACGATATGTTTCTTTTGGCTGGTTGAAAGAATTTGTAGCATCAGTGCGTACCCGCTTTAAGCCGGTACGATAAGACATTAGGGTAAATGCTCTATGCATGCCTTTCTTATTTTTGTTCAGCAGCGTTGGCGGCCACCCACCACGGAGCCCAACGAGGGGACGCTACAAGTTTACAGAGGCTGAAAACTGCAGACGCCAGCCGTACAACGCCACTATAACCCAATGCGCCTAGACCAAGGTAGGCTATTTGCACAGGGTTAACCCTAGCCGCCAGGAAGTTTGGAAGTAAACGAAAGAGTGTAGAAGACTGGACAGATAAATAGTAAGAGATAAAGACGAAGATGTAGGGAGAGAGAGATAGGAAAAGGCGACTGCCCATTTCCCCTGGGTGTGTCAGCCCAGGGGTGCCGTCTACGTGAAGCCGGGGCCAAAGGGGTGTGTTGCCTCTGCCGGGGGGCTTTAAAGGTCCAATCACCCAGCGTCGGCTCAACTCCCAGGATCCCCTTTTCCCCGGACACGGCAAAGCCACGCACGGCTAGGCGTGGGAGTGAGCCGAAACTCCCCCGTTAGCTCGGGTCGTTACACACCAAATGCCTACTTGCGCAGGCCCCCTGCGGGGGTACAAGGACCTCAAGAAAATAAAGCAAAACAAACCAGGGGCCACTCTAAAACAATACAGATACCATTCTTTTGTATTAAGAGTTCTTCATCATGATAAACAAGCATGGATACCGAAAAGAATTATATTACCTTTTCAAAAGATTGCATTAGGACCTGAGTGTGCAAAGAAGTGTGTGTTCATTATTACAGTCACCTACGAGCCACATACAATGTATATATAAAAGCAAGGATTCCGCATTTGTTCTAGGGGGACACCTGTGTCCTTTGCGAAACTTTCCTTAGATTCCGAAACAGAAAGCTGGCAGAACGTTTGGAAGACATTGTTAAACATATATTTCGTTATGATGATCATGAATTCGTTCTTTTCGATGCCGATTATTACCGGTCATCTGTGAATATCCCGGTCATGTTCTGAGAACGAGACAGCAGTAAATCTGGCAGTTGATATCATGAAGAAAGGAGCTCTACAGTTCCCCACGTCTGAATTTGAAGGTTTCACCTACACCTGTATGTACGTGCTATCTTCCGAATTCTCACACGTCATTACTAAATTGCTGATGAAACCATTGAAAAAACATTGGCAGATTCCACGTTCAGTGGGAATTGATGATGTGCGAAGCACAAATGAGGAATGTTTATATGTCACTTTAAAATAAGCACAACTTTACGAGGTGGAGGTTAATTATGCCGTACATGACTTTTCTGTCAGATTATCATGTTTGAATGTGTCGTTTACCTTCGGAATCTATTCACGTGACGTGATATCGAATTCGGTATATGTGGAGCTACTTCGTCGTCCATTGACGTCAAGTAATACCAAATTTGTTATATGTGGAGCTAGCGAAATGACCGCGAGCGCATGATAAACGGCCCCATAGACTACAATGTAACAATGACACGCGCAAACGCTGCGCACAGCGACGCTACGTTAGCAAAACGCGAGCACTCTATAATCTGACACCAGGAGCGACCAGCGTCCATCGGCGCGGCCCTACGGCAACCGCGCGAAATTTGACATGCTGCATTTCATGCCGATTCATTACCCAGCCAGCACTGCGTCTACCTCTTTTCGTGACGGAGGGATGCCAGACACGCTGAAACGAACATGCGTCAAAGCAACGCAGTGCGGCGCGCGCATGCGAGTATGCGACAGGACCGGCGCCTGGCGTGGCAACGCCGGCGTGACGCGACCAAACGAACACCGGCGTGCGCGCGCGCCGGGTCACGTCGAAATGTGTTGGCGCCTTGACTGTGGCATGTAGTCATGTTCTCACATAACACGCACCTCATGATTATCATATTTGCACCAGTCACATACTTTTCTCATCTAGTGACGTCATGTATTACTAAATTTGGGATATGCGAAGCTAGCGAAACGGACGTGAGCACATAATGAGTGTGGCATGTAGTCTTGTTGTTATATGACACACATGTCGTGATTATCATGTTTGGATGTGTCATTTATCTATTTCGTCTATTCGTGTCTCGTAACACCAGATTTGGTACATGTGAAGCTAACGAAACGGCCGCTAGCGCATCATGAGCATGGCATGTAATCATATTGCTACATGACACGCATGTCGTGATTATCATATTTGCGCCAGTCGCGTGCCTTCGTCATTCATTCACGTACAGTAATGCCACATTCGGTATATGTGACCCTAGCGAAATGGCCGTGAGCGCATCATGAGGGTGGCATGTCGTCATGTTACTTGACAAGCATGTCATGATTTTTATGTTAGGGTCTGGCGCTCGTGTTCGCCATGCAAATAGGTCATACCGTGCCAGTTTTGCAACATGCCATGTGAACTATACCACAGCTAAAGCAGCAAGACCATGATATATAAATCATGACATTCATGACACACATCATGGTTTTCAAGTTATGACTAGTCACTTATGCATGTTATCAGTCGTATAGTACCATACCAAGCTTGGTATCGATACCATTATCGAAAGAGCCAGGATAGCTAAAGGCATAGCGGCTAGTTAGATAGATAGATAGATAGATAGATAGATAGATAGATAGATAGATAGATAGATAGATAGATAGATAGATAGATAGATAGATAGATAGATAGATAGATAGATAGATAGATAGATAGATAGATAGATAGATAGATAGATAGATAGATAGATAGATAGATAGATAGATAGATAGATAGATAGATAGATAGATACGTTGAAGTCGCCAAAGTTCATTTAGAAATGCTTCGCATTTAAAAAGCTACATTGGTGCAATACATAAAAATTCTCCCAAGAAGCAATCTTCCCGACGTCATTCCTTTGCAAAAACATTTCGACCGGGCTCAGCTACCGGCCTATGTGGAGTGTGGTTTTCCATGCGAATGCACACTGAAGGACATCAATGTGTGTTTGAGGTTAAGAGAGGGACAGCCTTTATCGACCAATCAGTTGGTTTCAGCGAGGAGTTGGACATAAACCACAACCTGATTGAGGTCGTGGCCTGCATTGTAAACAAGAAGACCGGCCTATTCGTGTTTAACGTGTACAGCCCCCCTTCAAAAAGGGGCCTCACGCAAAACTTTGGCGCCTTTTTCACAAAGGAATAGCCAAGGCCGGCTCCAGTCCCCTCCTGATCTGCGGAGACTTCAATGCACCGCACACGCACACGCAATGGGAATATGGAGCCGATTCGCCCAAAGAGGCTCGCCGGACTAATGGACGAGCTTGGCTTGGTTTTACTCAATGAACCGGCATCCCACAGCCGAATCGAACAGGGGAACGTGATGCGACACGTCCCCTGATTTCTCCATTTGAAACCCCTTTTAGGACCTGGGGAGCGACCAAGGAGTCCTATGCGTTACTATGGAAGAAGATGAAGGGAAGATCAATGGCTACAAAAAATGGCAGCATATCCACGGAGTGAATGATGGAGGGTGGGGCGAAGCATGCGTCCGTCCATGTGTTCGTCTGTGTGACCGTCCATGCGTCTGTTCGTGCGCCTGTCCCTGCGTTCGTTCATGCATCCGCCCCTGCGTCCGTTCATGCGTCCATCTATGCATCTGTCTATGTGTCCGTTCGTCCATCTATTCAACACTCCAAGTCCCACCATCTCGCATCTTTTTATCATATATTCCCCATATAGAAGCACCACCATTCAGTGGACATTCTAAGGACTAAACGAGAGGTGGCACACGCAGACTTTTTTACGGCTTCCGCTTCGGGTCTACTTCCCACCTTCAACCACCTTGAGTTCATGGTACATACTAGTTCACTGTATTCATGGCACTGAAGCCGAATGCTCGCTAAACCTTTCTAAAACCAAGGAGGTTACGCCCAGCGAGTATAACGTAGCAACCTTTTCCTGTCAGATAGTGCTCAATGTACACGCCAGTGGCTGCTAATGTGAAATGAGAGACAGGAGGATTCAGCTTTTAATTTTTTACGGCTTGCGCTTCGTATCTGCTTCCCCCATTTAACCACCTCGAATTCATTCATGGTATATACCAGTTCGTTGTATTCATGGCCCTGCGGCTCAACGCTCGCTAAACCTTTCTAAAAGTAAGGAGGTTACCCCCAGCGAGTATAATGTAGCAATCCTTTCATGTCCGATAGTGGTCATAGTACATGCCAACGGCTGCTAATGGGGATCGCAGCGTGCGCGTTGACTAAAAGCCGAATGCTCCTGTCTCTCATTCCCCATTGGCAGCCATCGGCATGTACATTGAGCACAATTTTTATTGTTAAACGACGCACAGAAGAAATCTCTCACCGGCACCTTCTTGGAGGTCAAATGTTATACCTATTTCGGGTATGTGCCACTGGTGGTTACCTACTACGAGGGACCCACAGGCCTCCGTAGAGGAGATGATCAAGACTCATCTCACTCGCCTGGCAGGTGAGAGTCACGTGGAACACCACGCGGTTCCCGGCGTGAAACTAGACATGGAATTTTCCATGCAGAAACTTCGACCTGTCCGTGTGCTGAAGACTAAATCGGCGCCCAGCCCTGACAAGATCACCAATCTAATTCTGAGGAACCTGAACGATGACGCCTCGATAAGCTAGGTCAGTATATCAACGCATGCTGGAAGAAAGGTCGTATTCCACAAGAATGGAAGAGAGCGGATGTCATACTATTACCCAAGCCAGGCAAACCATTTGAAACTGAAAATATGAGGCTGATATCTCTGACATCCAGCGTCAGGAGAGTCATGGAGCATGCCCGCCTCAACAGGGTGACGACGACCCTCGAGAAGCAGGATGCCTTTGGCACCCACACCATCGGCTTCCGCAGAGGACTATCAACGCAGAATGCTATGCGGCAGATCAAGGGACAAGTCGTTAACGCACCAAGCCAACGCTCGTGCACCCTGCTCGGATTAGACCTCAAAAGCACTTTCAACATAGAGAAACACGCTGCCATTTTCGACAAGATCAACCAATTAGATCTTGGTTCGAAGTTTTACCGGTACGTCAACAGCTTAATTCCCGAACGGACGTAAGGCGACGGTGAAGGTCGACGGTGCCCCACTACAAATAGTTGACATGGGGGATGCGGGTACGCCACAGGGATCAGTGCTCCCTCCGATGCTTTTAAACCTCATTATGATCGCACTACTGGAGCGTCTCGACGCAGTAGAGGGTATTAATCGCACGATATACGCAGACTACGCGACCGTGTGGACCACAGTGAATACGAGCGTCGGCAAACTGCAAGAGAAAATGTAGCAGGCCGTCCGGGAGGTAGAGCGGCACCTCGAAGGCATGGTACTTGTCTCCTCACCCAAATAATTGAAAATCCACCTGCATAGACCGCGGAAGAAAGGTCTTCACCCGCACGCTGTTCTGGACGCTCGTCGCTTGCGCATCCGCGTGAAGACGAAGGAGGGGACCCAAATACCAACGGTGTCTAAAATACCAGGGCTTGACCTGTGGCTGGGAGAGGACGGTGCGAACAACTAGCTGGTAGCGCTACAGCAAAAAAAATGTGGCTGCCGCACCGCACTTTGTGCATTGAGTATCAAAAAAAGAGGGCTAAAGAAACACACGCTGACGAAGTTATTACATGCGTACGCGCTGAGCCACACAGCGTACGTCGCCGCGTACGCCGAATGGGCAGAAGCGAAACAAAGACGGCGATTTGTCGAGCGTTCAAGGTAGCCCTGGGTGAGCCACGGTACACGGAAACCCGTAGGCTTCTCGAGTTGGGTGTACAGAACACCCTCGATGAGATAGCAGAAGCGGACAGGATTGCGCAGATCGAGAGGTTGTCGGGCACAAGAACGGGAAGACGCACTTTCGACTTGCTCAGGATTCAATGGTACGAGGCGCGGGGACTAAAGGAAGCATTGCTACCAGCCCAGCTGCGATGGTCTAGTCGCCAAGGTACTCGGCTGCTGACCCGCAGGTTGCGGGTTCGAATCCCGGCTGTGGCGGCTGCATTTCCTATGGAGGCGGAAATGTTGTAAGCCCGTGTGCTCAGAATTGGGTGCACGTTAAAGAACCCCAGGTGGTCGAAATTTTGACCACCTGGGGTCGATTATGAGAGATGCCACTATGGCATCTCTCATAATCATATGGTGGTTTTGGGACGTTAAACCCCACATATTAATTAAGCATTGCTACCGCAAGTCAGGGATACCGTACTGACACAAAACATTCCCAGGAACATGCGCCCTGTTCACGACTTGCAATGACGCAAATGCAAAGCTGCAGCAATCCTGAAGGTGCACGGAAGCCAAAAGGGTGTCCGCTTTGTCGATGTGGCCAGGTATCCACTGTCAGCCGGCGGCAGCGATGGAGGGCACTCGGAACCCCCGCCGCTACCCGTGAACGAGAAAGACGAAGTGGAGGTGCGAACACCACCACTACTGCTGCTGCTACGACAACAACGACTGCAGCGACAGCGGCAACATCAGCGGCAAGTCTGGTCAACGGCTGCGGGACCTGCTTTCTCCATGGCGGTCCTGGATACAACGGGAAAGGTTTGGGTCACGGCACCAGCATGGCTGCCATCAGCTGAAGCTGCAGAAGAGATGGCCTTGCTTTAGCGATACTTCACAGTAGTGCGGACGACCCCCTGATTATTAGCGATTCTAAATCAGCTATTCGGAGCCGTCATAAAAGCTTGCTGTGCGAGGAGGTGGCTCGCATGCTTAACGCCGGAGCTGGGGACATCGCGTCAGGCAAGATTATTGACAAGATCCTGAAGTGGTTACCCGTGCACATGGGGGACATTGCAACTATCATCACCCACAGCCGTAAAGCCAGCAGCCGACACGCAATCAGCCAAAGACTCACTGGCATCCTGCACAACCATAACGAGCGCGCCCACCTCCTCGCGAGGCAACTTAGCCGCCGTGACGCAGCCACCCAAGGAGCAGCCGCCACCATGGTTGGGATGAGAGCCGGCGTAGGCAATGGCTGTGGTCACAGGCACGGGCACTGCCGCTTTTACCCCCCCTCCCACCTAAGTTGGTGCAGAAGAGGCAAGGCAACTGAAGTGCGCTGACTGCTATGCAGAAGAATTTCCTGCCACGTAGCACGACGTGCTTGGGCACTACAAGAAAAACCGGAAGAAATTTCCGCAACCCTACGTGCGCCTGGACAGGTCGATGACGGTGGACCTAAGAAGGCAGCAGACGGGCAGGCTGACCAACTCCTACCATCTGCACCACCTATTGTCGACGCTGCACCCTCCGCCTGGCTGCCCATGGTGCGCGCACGAACGGGCCGATATGGCACTTATACTTCGGCAATGCGTAAAAGACTGAGATGGGCCACGAGAAAGGACGACGCCAACCGAGGAACCTCTGAAGTGGAGGGCCTTGCTGAGCGATGGCTAGCCGTCCTTCTCAGCGAGGACCTGGAAGAGCAGGTGTAGGCTGTCCAGCGGTCCAGGGTCCTCGCCGAGGACTTTGGAAGATGTTCCTCGAATGAGGTGTCTATGGCAGCCTAGGCACTGGCACAGCAACAACCGTTGCACAAATGAAGTTCATTCAACTCAACTCAACGTAACAGATTTGATAACTAAAGCTAGCGGGTTTCAAAAACACGTCCTCCTCAAAGTCTGCGAGAAGGTGCGCCATCTCTGAAGACAAATAATATACAGGCTGAAAGGGATCAGCCACGCAGTACCAGAGCAAAGCTGCACATAGTCATACCGTACTCTCACGTGTGGCACACGTTGTTTTTTCGTCCCCACATAAAGTTAAGTCAGTGTGCGCGAAGTTAAAAAAAAGAGTCACAAAGCAGATAAAAGGCAGTGAAAGTGCTCCGGGTAACAGCTGCGTACTCAAACACATTTTGCATTAAAAATATTGTTAGCAGTTTATTGTCTATCAGATGCTACTGTGATGTCGAGGTCTAACGTACGTTCGATTGCCAGGATAATTTCTGCACAGCTCTATTAAACCACAACACGATACTGTCACACTTTAGAGAGCAGTTAGCAAGAAAAGTTATTCAGACCTTTCATAATAGAAAAGGTGAGCGGTGGGTCAGACATTACACATGCCACATAATGACGTGAAATTTTCGTACCTCGTCAGCATGTGGTAAAAATAACATGCAAAATTATCTCTAACGGTTTGCTTAGTGGACATAGCTGGATACACATCGTATATATATATATATATATATATATATTTATATATATATATATATATATATATTTATATATATATATAAAGGTAAAAAGGTAATTTCATGCCAAATTCCCCAGACGTCGCACTCAACCATCGCACTTTCTCCCGATAAAGCTTCACCTGTTTCGTAAACGCCATGGAGTGTTGCGACAACACATTTTAGGGGCGAAGCTCCTTAGGGCGTGGGCTGTGCGTCCCCTGTAGCCTGTATGTAGCCACCTCTAGTTTAGTTCTTGCAGTGTTCACTAGATGGCGGTACCGTCCCCTGTATGTAGCCACCTCTAGTTTAGTTCTTGCAGTGTTCACTAGATGGCGGTACCGTGTCCTGTATGTATCTACCTCTCGTTTAGTTTTTGTAGTGTTTACTAGATGGTGGTACTTGTAGCTGATGATGAAAAGATGCAAGATGTTATAAACTAGAAAGCGGTACTTGTAGTTGATGAAAGACGCGAGATCTTATAAAATAGGAATGATGTCACATATGGCGCGTGTCATTGGTTGAAGGAAATCGTTCGATTTAGTGTGGCGACGTACGCTAGGGGGAGCGATGTAATAAAATCGAGTGGGCAAAATGTACAGAGGATTCATGGTTTACCAGGTTTACCTCCGGAGCTTCACCCACTCATCTTCATTCACTTCGTGGATATGGCGGAATTTTTTTGCTCAAAGAACGTTTTCAAGACTGTAGTGCTTCTTTTTCTAGCTTTCGCCAAAGTGTGCACAATACACAAATGTCTATAAAATCGATATTTGTTTGCGTAACTTCACAACAACGCTTCAGCTACAAAAGAGGTTTTATTTAGTTGTGCTACTAAAGCATTCGCAAAATGTTCGCGTGTAGGAAGAAGTTAGGCATTTTCAGAAAACACTAAAATCTTCAAACATCATCATTTTATCTATGCTAGCAAAAAATCTAACTTAGCACTCGATAATATTGTGGTTTCCAGCGAAGCTTACGTTCATACAGAAATTTTAGGGGCGAAATAGTCTTCCAATCTTTTCAGCAAAAATTTAAAGAAAGCAAACCTATGCGCTTTGCCCATACTAGAGTGTACTTTCCGTAATGATGTGGTCAGGGGATGATTTACACGATGTCACATTTTATAGACCGTTTACCGGTAAAGATATGAGTGACATCTATTGCAGCAAATTTATTTATAATAAAGAAATAAAAATTTTGATTTTATCCTTAAGAACCCACCTTGCGTTCATTCACTGCCACTACCCCCAAAGCACGTGATCAATTTTTCCCATATATATATATATATATATATATATATATATATATATATAATTGAGATCTAACAGAAAATACCCACTAAAGTATAGGGGAAGATATTAGACTGAATTGTAATGTAAATATGAAGAAAGAAAAGTGGGTGAAAAGATGACAGGTCTTGTTACAACACAAGTAAAAAGAGCGACGTAAGAGCGCTGGAGAAAATACCCTTTAATGTAGAGTGGACCCGCAAAATCTACTCCACCTACAAGAAACGGAGGCATTTGTTTACAACGATTCTGGGGCATACACGGTGAAACTTGGTCAACTGGTTTAGACTGTAGGCGTAGGCAGATGACACACCGTGGTATTGTTTTTTTCACCAGCTGTCGTAATTGTGGAATCAAGTATTGTTCCCTTATTTGATTCAGTGTTTCTCGTACACCTCCGTGGAAGACTTTTTCGTAAGCTTGATTGATGATTAAAGTAACGAGGTGACAGTCTTTCGGTAGCAGGATTGGATGGCGACAATCGTATGAGTCGTCCGTAATATTAACTTTTCCTTGTACCCGAAGCAGCCCGTTGTTGTCGAGGAACAATCTTAATTGTCCAACTGGACTATGGGAAGGAATCGGAT